AAAAACCCTGCCAACACCGCAAATAGCGACCCCGTATAGATACGGGAAAAAGCTACGGAAGAAGAAGATGTTGGGTGGTGCAGAAATACTTGAGTTGTCATATAAAACAAAGGGGTGAGCCCAAGTGCTAAATAAGCAGATAACACAGAATAACTCATCTGCTACTTGCTGCTACCATATGGATCCATTATATTCTGAGGAACAGAATAGCTGTGCTGCCATAAGAATAATTGTGAAGATCACCGAAACCACAGCTGAAAAACTTGTGAAGGGGAGGAGATTATCCTGGTGGTTGAGTGGTGGCCGTTACTGCAACACCCCTGTTTGGCCTAAAATGTTTGTAGATGGAAGGAAGGACAACATGAAGTTATCATTCCAAATGCAGGTATGAATGTACCTGCTTGGATGTTTGTATGCACTGGTGTGTCACTCTTATTTTGAATTACAGGACTGCATAAGAGGGTAGGCAAAAAAAAAGAAAAAAAGATTCTCTCATTATTGACTTGTAGAATCTACAGCCAGAAAATTGGGTTCTGGAACTGAAGCCCAGTAGAATGGAAACTGATGACTGTCCAACATTGTGAAGGCATCAATTATTTGATGATCTAGACATTTACAAATTCACAGAAAAACTAAAATAAGGGTTGAGAGTTCACATAGTAGAAGAAAATGAAGATCTTGATAAAGAGAGTTTGCTAAAGTGATAACACTAGGAGCATGACAGACTCAAAGGTGAACATGTTGAGAATGAAGCCAAGGAAACAGAGAAACTGCAGCAAAAAAAAGGTTGCAAAATAACTATCACAATGTTGATGTCAGCTACCACTACTGAATATTCTGTGTGAAATAACACAGAATGGTAGTGTAGAATCATGCCAATTCCTCAACACAGAGTCTCAACTGAGAGGGATGCATGTGTGAAATAACACAGAATGGTAGTGTAGAATCATGCCAATTCCTCAACACAGAGTCTCAACTGAGAGGGATGCATGTGTGAAAAGATGAAACTCTACAGGATAAGGGAGAAATGCAGGTCCAGTTGAGGTAAACTCTTAGTTCAACCAAAACTGGAGAGATACAAGAGTGATCGAAGAAAGAAACATACTACATGTCAACAGGCATGAAGTAAGACACCACAGTAAAAGTAAGGTGTTTTTTGCCTGTGAGTGCATCCCCAGAGGAAGGACAACATGAAGGTATACCCAAGAAACTTCAATGTTTGCAACATCATAGTAGATGCTGAAGAACTTCTTGAGTTTGCAGTGTTGATCAAAAACACAGATGTACCAAATACTGTGATGTAGCAGCTGGGTGGTCAAACTAATATGTGTAAAACAGTGAATCTATGAAAAGATAAAAATAAACCAATCATTCATGTAAAAGTCGATAACAAGGGAATGGCCAAAGACCAGTGAAACTAGACTATTTGATAGGAAGGAACTAAACGGAAGAGCAGAGAACTGTTAAACTAGCCTCTAATGGCATAAGAAGATAAAGAGAAGACAGATTAATAGGGATATGAAGAAAAGCATCCAATCCACAATCTTCATCCAATGACCATGACAATGAAATTTCTAAAACCATATCAGGTTTTCTATTTGAAATTGGAGTGTCTCTAGGAAATGATAGGTTGAGACATATCTAAAATCCTCTGGAACCACAGATACAATAATTTGAAAACCTAGAAAAAGTGTGATAAATAATTATGACTTTTCCCTAAAGGAAATTTGAGACAAAATTGGTTTGGAAGGAAAACATTAAAATCACATTAAAGGATCTGTCAAAACCAAGGATCCCAAAGCCAAAAGTGACTTACACAGAAAAATCCATGATTTAAGATAACTCTTGAAACAGTAAAGATGGGGAATTTATCCCAAACAAAAATAGTTTATCAAGTAAAGCATGAAGATCCCACTTGCTGGTATCTACTTCTTAGTAGATGAGGGAGGCAAATAAAGTATGGGTATGAACATTAATAGCTGGTCAGCTCATAAAAATAACTACCAGAAGTAAGATGAAATACTAAACCTAATCAGCTCCTTGAGGTATGGTTCTCCTGACTGAGAGACTGATGTTAATGAAAATCCTGCAAAAAAAGTTAATGGAGTGGGAAAGAGTATTGTTACAAAGTACAATAGACTAAGAAGTAAAAGAAAATTAATAGCCAAAAACTGCATCCAAGAGAACTGCAGTAAAGGAAGACATAAAGTGATCTTGACTGAAAGAATCATGAAAATGAAAGTACCTGATATTTAATAACAACTCTTAAGAAGAAACCTTCAAAATGAGACAAATTAATAGTTTACAGGGTAGAAATCTGATGATGGATCAAAGGAAAAGACACATGGCAGTCCCTCTCCCCCAAAAATATAATCAATCAGAAAGTCAAAAGGCTATTAACGTTTAGCTGATTTCTAAAAGCATCAATTATGGCTAGAAAATCAAGACAAGGTGGAAAATATAAAGCTTCAAGAACTGAGTCATCCACTAATGGTTGAAGACCTGATGATGACAAAACCTTGTTGAAATGTTGTACATTTGCTGTTATGTTAAACTTATATTAAAGTTTTTCTTCATTACCCATTCAAGCCATCTCCAACCATTATTAGTCTCAAAGTGGGTTCCTCGTCATCGAATTTGAGTCATTTACTTTGAAACTATAGAGCTATATCAGATATGTCTGCCAGATAATTGGAGATTTACTCAAGATATCAATTATGGAGTTATACTAAACTTCTTATTGATTGACTCAATATAAAATAAATTATTTAAGACTTGACATGAAGTATATAACATAAAACACACATTTTTTTGTTATTCAGTGGAACATGAACAGTGTGTGTATCTGCTTGGCTGCACTGGAGCATCACTCTTATTTTGAATTACAGGATTGTATTCATTAGAACATTCTCTCCAAAAAAGATCAGACTGATTAAATGTAATGTTCCTTGGTATGCAACATGCACAACCCATGTGACTGGTCATTTTCATTACAATGTATGTAGGGCTATAACCTCTAGATATCACTTGATATCGACATTTCTACACAACATTTCATATTAAGCAATGTTTTCCCTGGACAGTAAGAGTTATTATCTAGTTTTATGCACAACAAAGGAACTAGGGTTACTTGCAACAAGATAAACTTGACAGCTTTCTCAATCGCATATTATATGAAACCTGCATATATTTTGAACAAAGATTAAATTCAGAATAGATATCTAATACTATAAGAAGATAGCAATACATAGCATCATCAAATATCACAATACTATGAATTTCTGCCTTCTTACTTTACGTATAATGTTTTAGAAGTTTTAATCTATTCTAGGCATGTGTAGTTTCATATAAAATGTGATAAGAAGATCATTAAGTTGATTTTATCCTAGCTACCTTTGTTCCTCCAATGGTAGGTCAGGTGATATCTTGATATAACAGCTTCCCTTGTGTTTAAGTGAGAATGACCAGTCACATCTGCATTACTGAGATTTAGCCTACTCTGGAACATCTTCTTGAGTGAATCAGTCAGTTTGGAAATAAGTCTCAAGGGAGTATAATCAGCCTGATCAATTTATAACTCCAGTAAAGAGCAACTGTCTGTTGTCCATAATGTGAAGTGCACACACTATACATTTGTGTTGTGTTAAATATTGTTTGACTGTGTATCACACTTTGTGTCCCATCCATTTATTTCTTAGTATAGACTCAGTTAGCTTTAATGGAACTCAATATTACTTCCACTGCATAGCATACTTACCAAATTCTCTGTTTTGGGAAATTGAATTAACTGAAAGTACCCCATGTCTTTATAATTAGGGCTAGCTAACAAATCCCGCTCTTAACACAAAGAAGGTGAATATACCTACAAAAAAATCTTTTTTCTCATCATCATCAAGAGAAATGGGAGAATATTTCTCCACTGAGTGTTTATCTGATCATGAAACTCACCAGGGACACCAACAGACAAAAATAGGAATAAGGGCCTAAATTGATCATTAAAAGGACAAACAATACAGCCACAGAATCTACCTGCATGGTTGAGGCAACTACATGAGTAAGGCCTCTTAAAGAGTTGTAAAATTTTCGATATTTGTAGAAAAATTAGCTACAGTTGTTAATATTGATTTTAAAATTCATAACAGGTGATCGTAACAGCATGACTGTCAAAAAGAAAATCTGGCTTATGGTGGAAATGCGGGGCTTATTTATATGGCCAATAAACCATGTGGAAAGTGAGAGAGTGAAGAATTCTGGGTAAGTTGATGTATACATGTACTTTGCATTGCATCAAGAACATTTAGGAGTTAAAGACTGAGAAAGCAACTCAACAAGAAAAAGCTTTAGTATTTCAGAGATAAGTCTACTATGAAACATAAGTTTAAAACAAAAATTAAATCAAATATATATAAAAAAGAAAAATACAAAAAAAATATATAGCTAAAATGAGACCTCTTTACAAAAGATGTATAAAACTTAAACATTCAAAATATTCATTTGGCCTAATAAACACAACCTTCCCACATATTAAATTGAAATTCAAATAACACTGAAAATAATGAGCAATTTCTTTGTTTTCAGTCTCATAAATTTACTTCTACAAACTTATTTGTCAAAAAGAATCACACCTTTTACAAGCATAAAACTTCTGGGTATATTCCAATACTAGCACTGTATATCCTATAACATTAAGAGCTGTTTATCTTCCATATATTCACTTAAGTTGAAATGCTAGTTTGAACTTTATTTTAAACATACAAGGTTGAGTATGTTATACTAAAACAATTTGAAATATCCAAATCAGCAAATCACATAACACCAACAGCTGATATAAGGTAGATATGGAAATGGAACATATCAGTACTACATTTGAATGTTGTTTGACATTACAAAAGTAGTGTGATGTCACAGACAACTGACCATTTTGAGGAAGGGTGTGTAAAAGCTCTTTCCAATGCAAAATACTCATAGACTCAGACCATAAATGTGTGTTAAAATTGGGGTTTAGAATTTCCAAGATAGAGATATGTTATACTTAATGGTATTAAAAAAAAAGGAATATAGATCAACTTAGAATATCAGAACTTTTCATAAAAAAGACTTGCAATAAGGTTTACCACATTGTGGTAAGCAGAACATGGAATCTTGTGGCAGATTTGAATCCAGAAACACAACTGTCAGTAGCAAAAGCCATTCATGTGTCCCAGTTAACAGTATACAATATAATCAAGAATGATTTTCAACTGGAAACAAGGTTAAGAGGGTGGGTATGGGTTTACCAAAATAAAGCTTCCAGTCGTACCTCCTGATTTATCATCACATACCACAAGCAGCTGGAAAATGAAAGAGGTATTCATGCTTTTCTATAGGAAGACATGCAGGTCAAGCCCTCAGATGCAGTACTTATGGATTAATGTGTGATCAGGCTGTTGAAGTGGACACTGGAAAACCATCATCCTTGTACATTAGAGGGATTATGGAAACCCTTCAAGGAGGAGTGTTGTGCTTTGCATATGACTGCTTTACAACAGAGCTTCTGGAGATGGAAATTATGCTGCAGAGCTATTGTCTAAATAGAATATGCCCAGACATGGCAACATGAACTGTAATGATATAAAGAGACACCAAAATTGTTTTAAAATAATGTACTCAACCCTCTATAGTATAATGACAGAAAGTCCTTACGTTTATTGAAAAATGTGCTGATAGTGATACAAAAGAGTATTGTAGCTGCACTGTACAAAAGTAGAATAATAAATAACAAAAATCCATCAGTGTGGTAAAGTAGAGCAATGTCTTTTCTAAAGTTCGTCTTAAATAAGATTGTGAAGATGGCTGATATGAACAGCATAACAAGAAAGTTGTTGAAGAATGTAGCACTCCAATAACACCAGTCATTTAGTCCCATCATTCGCATCATTTCCTACTCGAAAGAAAAAACTTCATTACACTTTAGAAGTTACTGGAAAGAGCATAGTTTTACTACAATTTGTATTTTTATATCTCTCTACATAAAATTATTCTATTATTTATATATAGACAAAGAGGGAGTTCAAATAAAAAGTTACCCATATTGGAGCAAAATTTGGAAATCATTGTATGGATAAGCATACAATATTCTACTACAAATACTAACAAATAAATCATGTGTAAAAAACAAACATTCTATGACACATAAAATGAAAAAAATTTAATTGTTTTGTACCATTTTTTATCAAATATTTACACATTAAAGAAGCATATTAGTGGAATACAGTTCATCAACCAGCCAAAATGTTTCTATATCATTTGACAATTTTCTAATTGAACAAACTGTTAAAAATTAATTTCCAGTAACTAAGAAATATTACACAAATCTATCATTTATAGCAGCAACAATTCTCTTGAATCATGTAGTTCCTAGAATTTTCTCAAGATAAAAAATACAAATTATATTACTATTAGTCCAAGTAAATGGTTCACTTTTTGTCACTGTATATAAACAAAAGAAATCAGGCATAATTAATAAATTTTTAGCAAATATAAATTTTCATATAGTTTATCATCATCATCATAAGGTAAATTTGATGCTAAAGCTCATGTACTTGTTAGTCAGTGTTTCAAAGTTCATTTTACCGGTCAACCAAAAATAAATGAATAACTAGAACAAAAAAAAATTATAGTCTCTATCTACTGACACACAAACCTTTGTGAAATTACATATTAGGCTTTTAAGCTCAAAATGTCATTAATGTGGGAGTATCCAACTGATATTTAAATGCACTTTAATGATTATATATTTTCCTTGATTTATGATATTCAGTAGTTCTGGTTAGTTTATTAGGATCAACCTCATTAATGTATAGTTATATTTATGATCTAATTTAGTAAGCTTTTTGTGATCAGAAGTTCTGAATAAGTAAAAATGTTTTGGTAAATTAACTTCAAATTACATATATTTATACTGGATTGTACTTATGCATATTCATCATTCATTACAACAAAAATGACAACTCTACTGATACAGGATTTTTTTACACTACCAATATTTAGTGGTAAACATGTTACTGAATTAATTTTGAAAGTTTGGATGTCTATGTACCTTTGCTCCCCTGGATTTTTCATCCACAATTCTTCGGACAATAACTGGACACAAAATGAGAAAGCCAATAACAATCAGTGCAGGAAGCTGGTTTACAAAACTAAAATGTGTTTCAATGTATGTTGGATAAGGATATCGATGCATTTTTGTAGCAAACTGTAAGGTAAAAATTCATGAATTAAATAAACTTTTATGTAATTCAATTAAGTACAGATAACAAAAACAACTAATCCAAATCCAAGAAGAAGCCTCTAAGGAACAGCAATCTATTTCATCACTGGCATTTTTTTGAAGTCATTCAAAACTACTGAAGTTTTTTTTTTACCGGTTAAGAAATGATCGTAAGATAAAAATATGTTACAAAATGATTAACTACAATATATTTAAATTAAAATGACTAATGTAGTAAAATTTGCTATAATTAAAATCTTTTCTAAAGAGAGAAGACACTTTAATTGCAAAATAAGTTCTAATAGTTGGAATTTTAAATTTGTTCTGTTTTGTTTCTATTTACTAATTTAATGTGTGATTTAAAATTACAGTTACGTACCAGCTTCTCTAGTAAACTAGAATCTAATATCAAATCACATCAATATGTTCAGAAAAATCTTAATTTTTTTAACAAAAACCTTAAACACCTCATAGATCAAGAAGCTGTGACTGAGAGGCTAACCCATGTCTATAATACAATGTTATAGCATTTGCTTTCAAAACCACACCTAATTTTAAAGGATCAGTCAAACTTAATTCCTTCAAAGTAGTGTTCACAAATCTTTTTTAAAAGAATCTTTGAAGTAAAACCATTATTTTGTTCATGAGATGTTACCATGTGAGTATATTTACACATTCAGACAGCAGGTTTTTCATGAAGAGAAACACAACAGAAGTATATTAATTACTGAATGTAGTTTTTTCATACAATTGAAAATAATAAGTGATGATGAGAAAACATAAAACCACCTTCAACTATATAATATGAACTTAAAATAATTCAAACAGTAACTTTTTTTCAAAAACATTGTTTTCTATGCACCATTTTATATATTTTTTTGAACATATTATTAATAAAAAAAATTTCATTGTGGAGCTATTAAATGACAATTTATATCTGATTTCATTCTGAAACAGAAAAACTGTACTACTTTGTTATAATGGTGGTTGTTGTATAGGACAAAAAATATGTTACACAATATCACTACTTTATGTTTAACTTTGTTACAGTGGTTGTTGTTGTATAGGACAAAAACTGTGACACCATATAACTACATTATATTACCTACATTTGGGGCTTAATTAATTTTTTTAAATGAATTTTTGGGCACAAATGTCTAAACCTCTTAAATTGTTACTTCTTAAGCTTTATAAAGAAAATAAGGTAAGTCTTTGTATTTGATATGAGCAAGATAATAGTTTTACATGTATGCATTTACATTTTTCATTTCCTGGTATAAGGGCATTTACTGGAATTTGTGATTTAACATGTTTAATAAAAGTATCCTATAGTATGTTTGTTTTATGTAAATTGCTTTCGCCCCCAGTGGCACAGCGGTATGTCTGCGGACTTACAACACTAGAAACCGAGTTTCGATACCCGTGTTGGGCAGAGCACAGATAGCCCACTGTGTAGCTTTGTGTATAACTACAAACAAACATTGCTTTTTCTATTTATATTTTCTTATTACAATTTTCAAGATTTACATATCTTTATAAGTTTAATTTTCTACTCCAACTTATTTTTGGTCACTCACCTAAAACAAAAAAAAATCATATATGATCATATGCTGTGTGTTTGTTTTCATCCAGGCAACTGTGTAGTTAACTAGTTCCTGTTGTTATGGTTACAGGGCTGATACTGAAAGCAGTTTTTTGCAACAGGTTTGAAAACAAAATGTGATCATTACACATCTTAAACTACAATCAAATAATATGGGACTTGGTAAATCATTCTTGTTTAGGTTTATCTCAAAATATTTATACAAACTATCTAGGATTCTGTTACAGAATGGCTGTATGTATGCATATTTGTGCATGAATAACAAGTTTGTGGTTCTGGATACTTTGTATACTGCTGTTAAGAGTAAGTTTCGTATTAGCTGTAACTTGTTATTCACATGTGTAAGTGTAATGTTGACCCATACTGAGCAGGCATATTTTATAATGGGGCATATAAAATTTTCATAAATGTTTATGATACTTTTTTTGTTGTTCCCGTTTTTGTACTAGACAGACTTATAGGGTAGTTTGCTCCTCACCATACTTTGTTTCTGATTTGGGTAATACATTTTGTCACATTAATTCGGAATCATTTGCTAAGCCTAAGAATTTTAGACATCTGGAGATGGTTTAGTGTCAGTATAATTTGCATGGGTGTCTATGTGTTTTGATGGGTTTGGATGATAATACAACTGTAGTTTTTTGGACATATATTTTTATTCTATGTTTTTAACTGTAATATTTAACTGTTTGAGTTAATACTGGTTGTAGGTTTGTAATGGCTGTCAAAGGGTTCGGGGGACACTTTCAGATTGTCATGTTGTCCACAAACTGGGAGGCAAAATTACATGTGATTTGGTTCTGTCAATAGCATATTGCTTACATACATGATGAATAGAATAGGGTTAACTACCCGTCCCTGATGGTACCTGCCTCAGGAGTAAAGTACTCCGAGTAACTGCCATCTATATTTACTCTAAACTTTCTATTTTCTAGAGAGTCTGAAAACCAATGAATAATACACCTTGATAGTTCCATCTATGCTTGGTGGTATTTACATAATTGTTGTGAGTTTTGTGTGTATTTAATGTTAACTCAAAAGTTTGGTGTGTATGTATATTAATTTTGTAGTACACGTTCACTGACTAGGTAAAATAGTGACTGTTCATGTCTGATATGTCTTGTGTTTTGCATTGTGTATGCTGTATTATTTTCAGGCTCGAATGTGGGATATGTTTTGTGTGTGTTGTGGCTGTTTGTGTGTGACCAAAAGTGCTTAAGGTTGGTATGTTCGTTGAGATGCAAACAGAAGGAGCCCCACCTGTCTTGTTTTAGTTGTTTTATTTCATTGCATATTTTGTTTCTTAGTATGTTTAACTGTGTGTTTTGACATGTGGGTTTCTTGTGTTAATGTAGGTTTTTCTGCAGTGGTGGCATTTTTTTATCATGTTTATTATTTGTGTATGTAACTGCCATGTGTTATAGGTAGTATGTTGTTTGTGTTTAAGAACAGTCAGATCTGTGGCTTTGGTAAGATACCCAGTTAATTTTTGGCAGAATTTGTCTATAATTAATGGTTCCTTGGCATAGTGAGTGATTCAGTTTGGTAATAAACTTTCTAGGTTGATTGTGTAGTCTAACCAGTTTGCCTTTTTATAGCTTAATCTTGGTTTATATGATAGGAGTCAAGATAAAAAATGTAACAAATGGGAATATGATCACTATCTAGATCATAGCCTACGTTGAAGATTTTACACTTTTGACTAAGATCTGAAGACCACAAGCATACATCTGTTTGTTGGCTTTTGTGTTCTACTAGATATGATGCTTTCTACTTTTGAGAATGTGATTTTGATCAGTTTGGACTTGACCTGTTTTACTTTTATGTTATAGTGGATCCCTGTTATAACAAAAGTTTTAGCATTTGGTTTAGTTCCTGTTATGTTAATGGATATGTGACACAGTTTAAATGTGTTTTGTGACCATTCCTTAAGTAGGCTGTTTAGGTCAGCCATTTCTGCAGCCTTGACTATAGGAATCCCCCCTAGTTAGTCGTTTGGTCACAGTAATTTTAATAGTTGGTTTGCAGTATTTAATTTTTGCTGCAAGATGTGGTTCCTTGTAAGAGCCTGGGATTCCTTCAATGATGATAGTCTGCTTAGCTGGTTGCATTGTTTATCTGATATTTACTGGCTGTACATATACATATATATTAGTATCTGCATTGTCTGTGTTTGTCAACAGTTTTAGTTGCCTTCTTGATGTAAGCAATGTAAATCCATTGGTTTCCATGTATGATTGTGTTTAGTGTTTCCACATGTGTTGTACGATCATGTGTGGAGTCAATATCCAAGGCGGCATTTGTGTTCACAATTGTATTATCTGATACTTTAAATTTAAAGCATGGTTAGGATCATTTAGAGCCCATACAGTGTTTGGTAGTGGTTCAGCACTAACCTCATGTATCTCAGTGACAGTGTTTGTTTATAGTTATAGGTATCTAAACCCAGTTTCTAGCATTGTAAGTCCACAGACATACTGCTGTGCCACTGAGGGGCAGGTGTTAAAGAGTTCCTCATTATCTCAGTATAGAAAGTCTGGAGAACTTGTTGTGTTCAAGATTATTCCTTTTTTGCTACCAGATCGAACAAGAAAGTTTACATAAGGGTTTATATCTAATTTTTTTTTCTTGGAACTAAGGTCACCTAAACTAGACTTATTAGTACTTTATTTTGAGGAAAAGGCCATTGAAAATGATGTTGATGAAATATTTTGCTTTGTCTTAATGATTTTGCTAGCTCCTGGGCAAGAATGAAGTGCATTGTCATTTGTAGTTGAAAATATTTTGATGCTGTCGTTCTCTTTTTCAAGATATTGAAGAATCTGTATATAAAGGTACTTCTGAAGCTTTGGTGAGGTATGTCTTTTCAACAGGAGCGTCAGAAGATCAATAACAATCTATGTCATGTATCTGCATGCTGCATTTTCAAAAGCTTGGGAACTCATAATTATGGGAAGGGTTTCTACTAGATGAAGCTGCTTAGTCTATTATCTTCAGGGGTCTACTCTGATGTCCATGTGTTTTAAAGATCCATTAATGTTGACTGAATATATCAATGGTAAGATTACCTATGCACACACATTCATATGATGGCATAGTAATAATTTAATTAAGTCTACTTAAAATGTAACATTAGGCATAGACCTATAAAGCTATATACAAGTTATACTAGATCTAAGTTTAATGTTAAAATCTTCATGGTGATTCTCATAATTCATGTTCTTTAGGCTTAACATTAGCCTCGAGCCTAAAGTTGGTTTAGGCCTAGGTCTAGAGCTTGATTTAGTGTTAGACTATTCGCATTCCAAAAAAATCAATAAAATATTGATAGGGTTTTCATGCAAGTTATTTATCTATTATAATACATCTAATGTTAGACTTCTAGTATTTATTCATTCAATAGTAGATCTTAAATCATAATTGCATACTATGTATATATGTCACTTATTGTGTCTATTTTATAATCAACATGAAAGAAAGCATTCAATGCAGCATTTTGAAAACAAAATCAGTTTCTTTCGTTCATGTATAGGGAAGTTAATATTTAATTACACAATAGTAAATATTAAGAAAATAACTGCATCCTAGATATATATCTCACATTATATTGACAATTTGTCTATATTTATCAATTTATTATAATTAAGAAATATAGAATTAGTTTATACAAGTATAAACTTAATGTTTACTGAAATGCCAAAATCAATGAGTGCATATTTTTAAAATGGTGTTTACAACAAACATTTATCTTTTCAAGTTGCCTATAAGCAATGCACCACATTAGTCTCCCTCCCATAGGCATATTTAAGTGTGTGGAGGCATGTCCTTGCATAAAAATTTGCTTAATTCTATACACAGAATTATCTTAATTATATATGCACAGAGGCCTCGTACATCCATTTTTAAGGCCAAATTTTTAAACATTTGTTTGGGTAACCTACAGGCCTCCTATAGGAGAGGAATATCTCCTTGTATCCTCTCACACTTAGCACACCTTACACCAGTAGACAGTCTGCAGCACTGCTCTGTGCACTGACACCTACCCCGTCTATTGTCTCGGCATAGGTTCCATCTTTAGATGTTTCGATTTTCCTCCATTTATAACCCTAATTACTGGCATGGTCCTTCTGTGGTAAAAATAACTGCAAGGTTACGTGTAATGTGTGAAATTATATTTTCAAATGGCAGTCAAATAGTCTATTCAGGTTATGAACTCCCTTGTTTCATTGGGAATGAGCATTAATCCTGCTGGGTAAATCTGAAGCACTTAACTAGTTAAAATGGAAGATTTATATAATCCAGAATATGAGGTAAACATAGTCAGTTTGGAACAAGATCTCAATGAGTAATTTGCAAACATCTTAAAACCTAACTATCCATTGTAACAAATAAAGTATATAGGTTCACAGTTTTTTTAATATAATTTTCATTTTGAATGCACATTTGTGTTTAGTCTATTTGCTTCTTGTGAATTCGTTATTCTGCAAACCTATCTTGTCACTCTTAGTGGAAATCTGTGATATCTTAAAAATACCAAAATTATTTTATTAACCTTTCCTTATAATTACATGGCCTCTTCTCTTATATGCTAGTCACAAGTATACTTACTTGTGAAAATTCAGTTTTCACTTGAAAGTACAATGTTTCTGAAAGACAACCTATAATGTATTGTTACGACAGCGGAAGTCACGTGACGCTGCTGGCGCGTTTGGCGCTGGTAATGTGAGTGATGTTTCTCGAATGATCGGGGAAGTTTGAGATGCCCTCTTCATTAGTATATAAGCCTGGCAGAGAAAGCCAGCGGGGATGTTAATGAAGAGAGAGCAGTAGTTACTTTGAGTTGCGTGTAATTTATGATTCTGCTAGTTTCGAGCTACTGAGCTGTAAAGTGTGTGCTTTGCACTTGTCCAGAGCTAAGTTATAGAGATTGTGAATCGCTGTGATTTATAGCGTGTATTATAAAAGTTGTTAAGCATAGTGACGAGAAATGTACTGATTGTGGAACTTCTGTGTACTAAAAGTTTGTATTGAGGAAGAATAAACTGGTTTAATCAAGAAAAGACTTGTATCGCTGAAGGTCCTCGGATAGAATTTCTACTAGAAACAAACAAATAAGCAGATACATAACAAATTGGTGTCTGAGAGTGGGACAGAAAAGAAAAAAAAAGATGGAAATGAGAAGAGGCAAATCAAACTACAACTTAACAGATTTGATGGCAGCAATACAAGAACAGCGAAAGAAACAAGAATAAAGATTACAGCAGTTGTTGAAGAAAAAAGAAAAGAGACTACAGCAGTGGTTGGAGAAGAAAGAAAAGAAACAAGAAGAGAGACTACAGCAGTGGTTAGAGGAGAAAGAAAATGAACATGAAGAGAGACTACAGCAGTGGTTGAAGAAGAAAGAAAATAAACAAGAAGAGAGACTACAGCAGTGGCAAGAAGAACAAGGAGAGAGAGTACAACATCAGCATGAAGTACAAATGGAAAAGATTAGTAAATTTCAAAGTGAGTTAAGTACATTAAAGGACGATTTACTGTCCTTTATATATATGGAGGAAGCCACAGGAATTCGATGGGAAGGTACCATGGGAACCATATATGAGCACAATTTAAGCTCCTGGCAGAAATGAATGGATGGAGAGAAGCAGAAAGCAGTGTACCTG